TTAAGGAAGCAGTTCATAAAAAAGACACTTGTATATATACATGAAAAAAATTAGAATTAAACAAAAGTAGTTTTGTTCAACATGTATTAAAGAGGGGTTGCTGCCAAAGTACATAACTATATATGTATGTGTGTGTGTGCGTGAAAATTACAACATGAAAAACTGACATTAGAATAAGAAATTGTTGTTTACCTCTTTAATATGTGCAAAAACTAATTCTTTTTCTTCTATGCACCGTGTCTATTCCGGAGGTGGACAATCATGTCTCTCCACAACTTCCTAGCATTTGTAGCTAAATATAAGTATATATATAATGTCGACTTCTAAGCATTTATTTGTGTATCGTTTAAAATGACAAAAATGAACATTCTCACGCGGATAACCCCTATTTCCCGAGCTTAGCTAAGACATTACGACACAAGGCCAAATATGATTACAAAGACTGTGTTGCGCCAGTCCACCAAATAAATAGAATCTAAATGCATTTTATTTTAATATCTAACTTCGACGTGGAAGCTTTTAATTCCGAGAAGGAAATACTTAGTATTTTCAGACATGATTTTTGTTCGATATATATATATATATATTTTTTTTTTAGATCAAGAATTATAAACGCTGTACTCTGATTAACGAAATACGACAAAGAAAATGACACCAAATGCTGTGACTATAACAACCAAAGCGTAGACACTAGCCTGGGTAAATCAATGTATAAAATTTCAGTCAGTTTTGTCTGTGTAGGCCGATGGGATGTAAATACATTCGAACAGCGATTAGAAATGGTTATTTAATAATCGCGATGTCCTAATATTATAGTCTCGAAAAACCAATGGGAATCGGACTCACTGAAAAGACATTATTTAAGAAAATATTTAAATAAAAAAAAGACAAACGATAGCTTCTGCTTTAATGTGGTACGGGCAAATATCGTATGACATTCTGCACATCCGATTGTGTCCGCTATAATTTGTACACAGAGAAAGGTTGTTCTCTACAGAACACACATTCACAGATATGCATAAGAGTATTGCTGCTTATGTACGTACGTACGTACGTATGTGTGTGTGTGTGTGTGTGTGTGTGTGTGTGTGTGTGTGTGTGTGTGTGTGTGTGTTTGTGTGTGTTTATATATACAGGGATGGTGCTTGCTACCACCTAACATCCCGACCGTGGGGAAAAAGCCTGATTGCGGGCTCCGGGTAATGCTTTTTGACTATCGCTATCTTATCAACATTTGTGTTATTTTTGGGTTTTGTTTTTTTTTTTATTTGGGGGGGTTTTTTGGGGGGTTTTTTTATCTACATTTATGTACGTTATAATTTATTTTAAATTAAAATAAGCACAATTGATTCTTAAAAGAGGAAAAATTTTCGCCAATTTTGACGTAATTCTGTTTTTTTTTTTTCTTCTAAATTCGTAAATTTGTTTTGCTCAAGCTAAGACTCGAAAAAAAAAATCATATAAAAGTAAAACTCTATTTTTTATCCATGACGCTAAATGTGTTAAATTATTCAACATTTTAACAAGAACAATCTCAAATTGATGTAAAAAAAATCACTGCTAAACATTGTTGATTTAAATAAGATGGAATGATCTATTATGACATGTTTCTAATTTGTATTTAGATACATTGTAATTATTTTTAGTTTTACTAGTTCAATTGTTCACCTATATTGCATGTGATCCATTACTGAACATAATTAGCTTGCATTAAAAAAAATGTTATTTTATATGAATACAGAGGTGGAGGGCTTATCATAGATTTGGGGTTCCTGCATCATAGATTCATTAGGGGCCCACAAGATCCTTGCACCAGCCCTGCGTATAAGTGTATCTGTACCGAGAAACAGGTTCTATGCATTACTAAGCATAGATAAATGGCTGCTTCTATTCAATATGCATGGCAACATGTGGATGGAATGTATCTAGTAACGCAAATACTCAATCAAATGTTGTTTATATCGGTCGAGTGTTGCACACATACGCATACATACCCAGGGGAGACAGTTTGTTTCCTGCTTGAACGCAATCTTTAAGCTAGAAAATCGCGTTCAAGAAAGACACAGACTGTCACCACTCGGTGTTGAACCCACTGTCCACTTTTATCTATGCGCACTCTGTGCCTGATATTGAGCACATTTACTCGTAAATATAGCCTGCGCAAAACTGAAAATTTCGAAAGTGTTCAGAAGAACTAGATTCTTTAGTTCCACTGGTTCTAACATTCAGGTCTAAGAGTCGCCATGCCACGCATATTGTAGAAAACCCACCATCATTCTATTCATACCCCATTGTTGAGATGTTTTGCGGAACCAACTCCCGAGAGGATGCTTTCCCGGTCACTAAAAATTACCATGTTCAATTCTAGGGACAACCGTTATCTTCCACACATATTTCGATAAACTCTGCCTCTTATTTAGTAATCCTCTAACTAGAGTGGTTCTTGGGATTTATACAGCAGGAACATCACTGTAATATATATATATATATATATATATAT